AGCGACCGTTGGCGACTAGATGGGGCGTGTCTAGCGACGCGACAAAGTTGAGAAATTTTTAACTTTATGCAAATGAAGAGCGATTTTCGCGAGCGACAACCAATAGGAGTGGAGCGCACGTGATCCTTCTCCTCAGCCCCTGGGCCTGCAGTGATGGATAGCAAGAAAGCTGATTCGCTGTCTTTTGGATGTCATACTAGTCAACCAGTAGTGGGAACGCCCACTAGCGACCTCATCGCTGGCGACTTGCAGCGACAAAGTCGCGTGTAGTGTGAACGGGGCTTAATACGTACTCAAAACCGTGTAGCGCGCACACGGGAGAGAGCGAGAGACCTTGCGTGTGTGTGCTAGAGTACGCATTACTCTAGCACCACCACCAACCCAGGCACAAATCAAGGACAATCAAGGACAACCCAGACAAATCAAGTCTCACCCTACATGTTTTCTTGTTCGAGAAGCCATTTTACTTGGAAATACATAACAATAGGGAAGAAAAGACTATTGCAACTTCTGTTTCATGACAACTTTAAATTTAAGAATAATATAATTAGCTCATACGGACATGAAGGGGTAGTTGATGGAGGTATCTTATACTTGAATGTCCCGTTAAATTTGTCTCCTCTGTTTAGTCGTAAAGAACTTATCCATTTTATTATCACCAGTTAAACCCTTTTAAGTTGCAGTAGGAGGAAAATTACCAGCTTCTAATGGATTTAAAGAGCATTTAAGTGAGTAAGATACAAACATTCCTGTTTTAGCCTTCTTCTGTTTGCAGCATTAATGATTAGTGTTCTTTCGGTGTGTTTTGAATCTCCAGTAGATAGATTGAGGATGTTGTGTCAAAGCACCCTCATCGCTTTATTCTCACATTCACCTCCTATGTCTCCCAGTTCTGAGTTATTTCCTCCCTGCCACCTAATTAAGATTATCTTTAATTTGCAGGATTACAATTAATAGCTTGCTGCAGGTAAGTGATTAAGAGTTACCTGGTAATGACCCCAGGAGGCTAAATACAGAAGGAGGAGAAATGATGACAGCTCCTCAAGCCCAGCACGTCAGGCCACAATTTAAGATGGCCGATTTGGAACGCTCCCCATGAGCCAGCAACACAATGGAGGAGTACACTTTCCCGGTCTGTAATTAAGGTCCATTGAGTGAAATTACCTTCTGATAATTACCGGGTAGTTGTCAGCGTTTGTTATAGCGTGGTGAGTCTCTGTCTTTCTCGCCTGGAGGCTGGACCGGGTTGGGCCTGGTAGCCATCACCTCATGTTGGTGCTCTCTTGAGGGAAGGGGCTGTGCGTGTCGGAAATGTGCCGGGATGATGATGATGAGGAGATGAGTGCTCAAGTAGCACGGAAGAAATTTAGGAATTAACAGGAACTCTGGACCTCATTGTGGAGAGGATGGATTTTGGTGATTATATATCTATCTATCCGTCTAATGCAAATTATACATTTGTTAGTGTAATTATACGTTGGTTACAGTGTGCCAAGTGTAATTATACATTTGTTAGTGTATTAATGTTTGTTACAATGTAATTACACATTTGTTACAGTGTAAGTATACATTTACAGTGTGATTGTTTATTACAGTGTAATTATACAAAGGTATTGATTCAGTTGAAGAAATGTAGCGAATCTTTTGAAAAAAGTAGCGATTCATTACGAAAAAAGAAGCGATTCCATTTGAAAAAAGTAGTAATTCATTACGAAAAAAGTAGCGATTCTTTTTAAAAAAGTAACGATTCTTTTGGAAAAGTAGCAATTCTTTTTGGAAAAAGTAGCGATTCTTTTTGAAAAAGTAGCGATTCTTTTTTGAAAAAGTAGCAATTCTTTTTGAAAAAGTAGCGATTCTTTTTGAAAAAAGTAGCGATTCTTTTTGAAAAAGTAGCGATTCTTTTTGAAAAAAGTAGCGATTCTTTTGGAAAAAAAGTAGCAATTCTTTTTGAAAAAGTAGCGATTCTTTTTTTTTAAAGTAGCCATTCTTTTTGAAAAAGTAGCGATTCTTTTTGAAAAAAGTGGCGATTCTTTTTGAAAAAGTAGCGATTCTTTTCTGAAAAAGTAGCCATTCTTTTTGATAAAGTAGCAATTCTTTTTGAAAAAGCAATTCTTTTTGAAAAAGAAGCCATTATACATCGCTACTTATACATTTGTTACATTGTTATTATACACTTATTACAATGTAATTATACATTTATTACAGTGTTACTATACATTTATTACAATGTAATTATACATTTATTACAGTGTTATTATACATTTATTACAATGTAATTATACGTTTTTTACAGTGTTATACATTTGTTACATTGTTATTATACACTTATTACAATGTAATTATACATTAGTTACATTATTATTATACTTTTTTACATTATAATTATATTAGTGTATTATAGTTTTTTACGCTATATATGAGACATGCAGCGATTCATTTTGAGAAAAGTAGCGATTCATTTTGAGAAAAGTAGCGATTCATTCGAAAAAAGTAGCAATCTTTTTTAAAAAGTAGCGATTCTTTTTTTAAAAATAGCGATTCTTTTCGAAAAAAGTAGCGATTCATTTTGAAAAAAGTAACGATTCTTTTCGAAAAATGTAGCGATTCATTTTGAAAAAGTAGTGATTCTTTTTGAGAAATGTAGCGATTTTTTTCGAAAAAAGTAGCGATTCTTTTTTGAAAATGTAGCGATTCATTTTGAAAAAAGTAGCGATTCTTTTAAAAAAAGTCATGATTCTTTTCGAGAAATGTAGCGATTCTTTTCAAGGTTGTAATTATACATTTGTTACAGTCTTATTTTACATTTATTTCAATGTAATTATACATTATTACAATGTAATTATACATTTATTACAGTGTTACTATACATTTGTTAAATTGTTATTATACATTATTACAATATAATTATAAGTTTATTACAGTGTTATTATACATTTGTTACATTGTTATTATACATTTATTACAATATAATTATAAGTTTATTACAATGTAATTATACGTTTATTACAATGTAACAATATATTTATTACAGTGTTATTATACATTAGATACATTATTATTATACTTTTTTACATTATAATTATATTACAGGGTTTATTACACTGTTTTTTACGCTATGCATGAGACATGTAGCGTTTCTTCATTTTGAGAAATGTAGCGATTCATTTGAAAAAGCAGCGATTCTTTTCGAAAAAAGTAGCAATTCTTTTCGTGAAATGTAGCGATTCTTTTCAAGGTTGTAATTAGACATTTGTTACAGTCTTATTTTACATTTATTACAATGTAATTATACGTTTTTTACAATGTAATTATACGTTTATTAAAATGTACTTATATGTTTATTACAATAGTTATTATACATTTACACTAACTATTCATTTATTACATTGTAACTATACATTTATTACATTGTAACTATTAGGGGTGTAACGGTACATGTATTCGTATTAAACCGTTTCATACGAGGCTTCGGTTCGGTACGCATACAAAACGAATGCTTCCTTGGACCATTTTTCCTGCCGACAAAATCCGCGACGGCGCGACAGCGCGACCACCACAGCGTTGCACAACATCAAATGGCAAAGGTAATGAAAGCGGAACGAAACTGCGCTACTAATTATATTGTGCTTCACGGACCGTTTATCAGTTTGGACCAGCAACATCTGTGCAGCGTGAGCCGATCTTGATCAAGCGACACTTTTACTACACAGCGCTAAGAGATCCAGTGAAGAAAAGATTTGAATTCGCCACACTGTTAACAATTTTCTTGTATTTTTACAGTACAGTACTGGCAGCAAGGTTGCCAGCAAGGTACTGTATTTCGATTTACAGTAACTGTACTGTAATTCAATTTACAGTACACACGAACAGTACTGTAAACTACAAAACAGTATTGTACTGTATTTTTACAGTATTTTGTCATTTTTGTCTACTTCTGTTGTAATTTATACGATATTGTACTGTAATATCTATATTGATATATTGATGCATTATTGCAAAACATTGTAATTTTCAAATTACTAATGATATTATAACTATATAATATGTAGTTATTACAGTATATAAATCTATAGGTAATAATATTATAATGCAACTTCAGAATAACTGCAAATCAAAAGACAATCCAAACAATGTTCTTGTCAAAAAAAATTTTTATTGATCAATTACACTATTAAAACCATGTATGGTGAACGCATTTAAGAGAGAGGTTGAGAAACTGCATGACTTGCAGCTGTAGCTGGACATACTTAAAGGGATACTCTACTGGTTTTTCATATTAAACTATGTTATTCCCTTAACTAAGACGAGTTGATACATACCTCTCTCGTCTCAGTGCGTGCACTAAATCGCTGTCTTGCGGCGAAACTTTGTTAGATCTTATCTCAGCCCTGTTCATTCAATACGGGCCAAGAAGAGAAGCGACCAAACACCTCCACGTTTTCCCTATTTAAATACAGTTACACGAGTAGTGTGACTCGACCTAGGACGGTGACACAAAATAAAACGTTGTGCTTTTCTAAGCGTGTAAAATGGATAACTATATTGTATGGCAGAATACCATAGCAAGTGCTTGAGAGCACTTCGACTCTGCACAGTAATATCATCACTCGTGAAAAGTCCTCTCCCCCCGCTCCCTCTCATTTCAACGGGAGCGGACTTTTCACGAGAGATGATATTACTGCGCCGAGTCGAAGTGCTCTCAAGCACTTGCTATGGTATTCTGCCATACAATATAGATATCCATTTTACACGCTTAGAAAATTTTGTGTCACCGTCCTAGGTCGAGTCATACTACTCGTGTAACTGTATTTAAATAGGGAAAACGTGGAGTTGTTTGGTCGCTTCTCTTCTTGGCACGTATTGAATGAACAGGGCTGAGATAAGATCTAACAAAGTTTCGCCGCAAGACAGCGATTTAGTGCACGCACTGAGACGAGAGAGGTATGTATCAACTCGTCTTAGTTAAGGGAATAACATAGTTTAATATGAAAAACCAGTAGAGTATCCCTTTAAAAACTTGGCTGGGATTTTGAGGTGGTACTGGAACCTTGGACCGATGACCAAAACTGAAAAAGACATGACACACAAAAACACATGACAAAATCTGTTAGCCACAGCACCAAAGATGAGCAGACAGACAGTGGAAGAGAGAAAATTCTGTAGAAATAACAAAAACAGCCACAAAAAAAAAAAAAGGAATCTTTAGATTTTAAAACTTTAAGTTTAAAACATTGTATTAACATGGCTAATACTTACATAAAACTCCTTCCCAGGCTGCAAATTGTCCCACACTGTAGAGCTGTAAGAAATCAAAATAAATAGTATTCAGTTAACGGTTATGTGTTTCTTGTTAAGGAAATATCTCATAAATCTGCTTACAATACATCTAAGTTAGGTTAATAAAAAAAAAGCTTCACTTGGCCTCTCTAAATATTCTAACTTGATTTTTTGGCATGCAGTTTACTTGTCTTTGTTGCCTAATAGATCATTAACTCTATAGTTTGAACTCTGATAGTTTGAAGTTTTTCAACAATTTAGGCCTACACCTTTATTTATATTTTTAATTATTATAATAATCAATATAACTGGGTCTCCTGCCTAAATAGAAATGAAGTAAAAGGCTAAACTGGTACCAATAGCCAATCTCTCTAGCCCATCTCTCTAAGCCCAAATAAATCACCCATTTTGCGTTGCAAAGGAAAGTGCAGTATTTTTAAGCCTTATTTTCCCGCGTCTTATTTTGTGTCTAAACGACTTCAATTTGGTCCAGTATTGATCATAAAATCATTAAGTTCGTCATTCGGGAAACGGACTGCAAATATAGCAGTTTGATCAAAATGTATAACGTTATGTCTATTATAACTGCTTGTTTTTACCACTGACAGGCTCGGGTGTTCCCTACAGAGATAGGCCTAACAGTTAACGTTAGACTAACATGTCAAATGCATTAATTTAATCTCGCAGACCATCGTAAAACACATTTAATTAAAACTCGACAGAAACAAAATAAAACTCACAAAAGACCATCTCGATTTGTCTTTCCACCGTTCCAACAATCACCAAATCTGTTTTTGTCGAAATAAACCTTAAGGTAATGTTAATTTACGGAGTTATAATGTTGAATTTGAAAATGTCAGGACAAGCAGTGAAAGAGCAGATAACGTTAACAAACTTAACAGTGTTTTTGCAACCGTCGCTGGCTAAACTTCCACTGTCATTTCACATTAAAAGCTATGTAGGCTACACACTATAGCGTAAAATCCTAAAACCTTATTATAAAATTCAAAATTAACTTACCAAATTTCCAGATATCCGCAGAGTGAGATATCCGCGCTGAGTGAGTGAACTGCCGCAGTTCTCCTCTGACGTCAGTCAGGCGGCGCGCGCGCGCTCTGTTTACAGCAACCCTGTATATTTGCCTGGCATGTTACAGCCAGGTTACAGCTAGGTTACAACAACACTAAAATGTACTGTAAAATGTTCCCGCTCAAACAAAATTACCCAGAATGCAATGCAAATTACAGTATTTTACTGTAATATAGAACTGCAGTATTGTACTGTAGGTTTTTACAGTACTGTGCTGCTAAATCTACAGCGAAAGTTAACAGTGCACTGAAGTAATAACATCGCTGCGAGATCTAGTGAGAAGCATTCACATTTCTCCGTTATTAACCGCAGATCACTATTAGATAAAACAGCGCTGACGTGGAAACCAGGAGAAACATTGTGCCGTGAATTATCTAGTTATAGGCTTTAAGTCCACAGATCAGCAACATTCAGCATGGATTATATGTAACACTAACTGTAACCATGGAAGTTTGGCTGGAATAGTGAAATGCTTTCAAGTACTTCACACATCTTTTTCCAGCACTGCAAAACTCAAATATTATCTAATATTATATATATAAATATAGGCCTATATTTAAATGTTATTTTTAATGTGATGACCAAAACATTATTTGTTCATCCTTCAAAGATTACCCCCATTTATAAACCTGAAAGTTTCAAGATGTAGGAAAACTCAAACTTATTTAAAAATATATTTTTCTTTTAATAAATAGGAAATTTCTCTGGCATTTCTTACTTTTTGCTGTATCGAAAATGTACCGAAACGTGACACTACTGTATCGTATCGAACCAAACTGTGAATTTTGTGAACCGTTACACCCCTAGTAACTATACATTTATTACACTGTAATACACCTTCATACTACAAAGTTTATTACACTGTAATTTTACACTACTTCATTTGAAAAAAGTGATTCTTTTTGAGAGATGTAGCGATTCTTTTTGAAAAAATGTAGCGATTCTTTAAAAGAAATGTAACGATTCTTTTCAAGAAATGTAACGATTCTTTTCAAGAAATGCAGCGATTCTTTACGAGAAATGTAGCGATTTTTTTGTTGAAATGTAGCGATTCATTTGAAAAAAATTAGCGATTCTTTTCGAGAAATGTAGCAATTATTTTTTAGAAATGTAGCGATTATTCTTAAGTATAAGAATACTTATACTTATACTAAATACGCTATTTAGGCAGGACTTAAATATTCTGTTGCTTCCGAAGAGCAGTACTAAAGTCAAGTCAAGTCAAGTCACCTTCATTTATAAAGCGCTTTTAACAGTATGGATTGTTTCAAAGCAGCTTTACAGTTATAATAGAAATCACCGTAACAATTGTTTAGGCTTTACAACAGCATTAGGATAAAGTTATTGTCCAGCTAAAGTTAGTTTTGATTGATTCACTACCGTTGCGAAGATCATTAGTTATTAACTTAGCCGCTAACATGAAAAAAAACTCGTAACGTGCTCCGGCCGTCCATCCACACAGAACAGAACATTGGGCAGTTTAACTGCTCAGGACAAACAAGGGACTCAAGAAAAAAAAACATTACAAAAAAAACAAAAAAAAAACACATCATGGATCATCCCGGTAATGACACACAGAATTAACAATCAAGGGTACGTTAAATTTTGAACAGAGTCATTTTCATAAATTCAGCTATTTTTTTTATTGTCTTGAGGACTATAAAATATTTTTTTGTAAAACATATTTTATTTAAACTATCTTATTCAGGACAGTACTAAATAAAAAATAACGGTCCCACTTTATATTAAGTGGCTTAAATTGAATTAAATTTAAATTGAAACTGCGAATTGAAAATACACCCAATGGACGTCAATTTCTCCACGTTTTTACGCTCCCATGAGGTTTTTTTTGCGCATTTATAGGTCACCTGGCGTAGATGACGTGGTATGTTTGGAAAGAATATGAGACAGAGTTCTCTATTAAATTCATAAAAGACAAAAGAATTACAGGAATACTGGATTCTTAACCTCAAAGAAATGCCACAATCAAGACCTTGAATCCGATATGAGGGAGAAACAACCAGAAACACCAGCTGCTCCAAGTATAAGGGTATTTCCTTACCATTAATGCTTGGATAACACGCATACATTTCATTCCATTAATAATAATGGCCAGTGCAGTGGCTGGGATATACGTAAACCTACCAACATCCGTCGCCATGATTTTTGGAATGACTTATCACGAGAGGAAAAAATGGCGTTAACATCGCATAACATCGTTTAATGGAAACGCCGTCATTTCGCAGTAGTTTTTTGACGACATTTAGAAGAAAAAAATCGCAAAAGTTTTGCGTAAATCTGTAATGGAAACGCGCCTACTGTTGACCCTTCTCTTACACCTTAACCCAAGGGGTTCACAAACTTTCAAGAAGCACTGTATGTATTTATGTATGTATATATATATATATATATATATATATATATATATATAGAGAGAGAGAGAGAGAGAGAGAGAGAGAGAGAAAGAAAGAGAGAGATCAATTTGTATGTCCTCTCTTAAAACTAGACTACACTACTTTTAAAAGAAGTACTACTAAGTGTTCTTAGTAGTACTACAAGTTAAGTCTTTAGGACTAGCACAGGTGGAACCCCTCAAAAAGGTGCTCAGAGAAAGGCTGACTCCCTGCATGAGTGCCACCAAGCCAAATGACCAAAAATTGTGTTTTCATGCAGTGCAGTATATATACAGTAAGAGTTTCTGTCCTATGTATAATGCATAGTCAAAGTGCTTTTAGATGGGCATGTGGAGGCCCAAAGAGAGCCGACCTTTCAGGCAGGACGATTCAGAGGAGGAAAGGTTAAAAACTCACGCTTAATTGAACCCAGCCAGAGTGGCACTAAATTTGGTCAGCAGCAGGACAGAAGGTATGTCTGCAAGAGATGAGACGGCCCTGTGAGAAGCCCTCCGATCATATTCCTCATGTTCATACTGAGATAGAAATTACATACATTTCATTACAACTGTATTATGTCGGTTAATTGTGTAAACAGGTTCAGGTTAGTGCCAATAGTTCAACCCTAACTTTACTCAGTCATAAAGATGTAAATTCATTTAGTACAATCATTAATCAATCAAGTTCAACGTAAAGTCACAAGTGACTGATGTATTTGGATCTCGCCTGAGAGCCCAATCATCTTCGAGTGTTAACAAAACAAGCCAATGCACATTGACGAGTGAGATTTGCATCGCAAGCCACTCCCCGTATATTCGGGTATATCAGGCAGCATGCAACACTCACACAGTTAAGCTTTCGCTTCGGAGCCGAGCAGTCATCTGATTACTAACTCTGTCAATCATCGTTCGTGTTGAGAACAAGAGGGAAGAAGTTCTGGTGTAATGGCGTGATCAGGGGTGGTCGCAATCTAAAAAAAAAAAAGAGTATTTGCACAATACCTGTGCAGCAACCTTTTACCCTGTGCTGAGCAACCTTTTACCCTGTGCACTTCAGCACTGAAAGAGCATTTTCCTAAAAGAGCAAACACGAGTGTGACATTTTTAAGATGTCATTTCATCCATGTGTTTCTGGATGCGGTCGTTTCCTGGCCCCATCTGACTGCTATGATCACTGCCTCACGTGTTTGGGCTGCAAGCCAGCTGAGGTAGTGTTCATTGATGAGTCTTTTACCCACTGTGGGAAGATGACCATCACGATGGTTTCACTGCCCCGCAGAGGACTACTTAAGTTAATACACAGGGTGATCTGAGGGTAAGAGTAGGAGCTCTCCCGCTGGGCCAGTCCCCGTGGCCCTCACAGTCCTCTTTCACATCGCAGCCTGTAGAGCTTCCGGGTGAGGCTACTGTTCCTTCTCATGTGGGACCTAGCGTCTTATTCGGGGCTCCCACGGAGGACCAAATGTCAATCAATGCATCGGAAGGCAGGCTGGAGATCTCTGGGGATGAAGACTTGGCTTCGTTGCCCCCTTCTGGGAGAGTAGCGTTGTTCGAGCCTGACCCAGAGTTGACTGCCATGCTTTCCTGGGCAACCGCAAACGTCAGGAACAAGTGAACCCTCCACCTTGTCCTGAACGCTCGCGGTTGGATGATTGGTTTCTCGGCATGGGGCATGCTAAACACTAGTGTCCTTGCCTGGTTCCTTTCTTCCTGGAGGAGCATCAGGAGGTCACAAAGTCATGGAAGGATCCTTTTTCTGCCCAAAACCGCTCAGCTGACTCCTCCACTCTCATTACCCTCGTAATTATGCCCGCAAAGTCCTGCCATCTGGTGGGGTCACCCGCGCCTCCCATCCAAGCCTTACAGTGCAGCTGGACAGGCTGCTTCCTCCCGGCACGCTATGGCCCTCCAGCAGGTAGACCAGGCCAAAGCACTCAAAGAACTGCACAAGAGTTGATGCAGGAACTATGGACAGCGACGGACCTCACCCAACAGGCCAGGAAAGTCACTGCGTGGTCCCTCGGGCAGACAATGTCCACACTAGTGGTCCAGGAACGCCATCTCTGGCTGAACCTGGCAGAGATGAAGGAAGTCAACAAAATTCACTTTCTTGACTCCCCCATTTCCCAGGCAAGCATCTTAGGCGAAGCTGTCGAGATTTTTGCCCAGCAGTTCTCGGCAGAACAGAAGCAGACAGAGGCAATTAAACACATCCTACCACCACCCGCCCGCCCGCCTGGGGTTGTGCCCCTGCCTGCTCGTCGCCGAGGGCATCCCCCTGCAGCATCTATATCTGCTCCGGTGCGGCCAAAGCAGCAACCTTCACCCAGGCTGCAATGTCGAGTTGGCAGCAGGAAGGCCACGCGGCCCGGCTTAGCTGCTGCTCCAAGCGGTCCTCCATGCAGTCTTCCAAACGGTCCTCCACGCAGTCCTCCAAGCGGTCCTCCAAGCAGTCCTCCAAGCGCTCCCCCAAGCAGTCCTCCAAGCGGTTGGTGAAATGACACCCCTGAGATGGGTGACCCAGAGTTGGAGGGAGCTGCTCTTCAGGAAACGGTGGATGCATTGCTTCTTCCCTCGGAGGTTGGCA